CAACATCCTAAAAAGCTGCACAGAACAATCAGGAAGGCCAAAGTTCTTTTAATTTGTTGACCGAAATGCAAAGGCAATAAAGCACTATTCTCAGCGATAAAACATTCGACTTCATTGGTACCAGCACGCGGGTTTGCTGTGTAAAATTAAAGAAATTTTTATTTCAAAATCTTTCTAGCAGAACGTGTTTTTGCATCGCATTTGAATCGGGGGAAAATTCGACTTCTAGAAGAATCGAAACCAACTTTTCATGAGAATACGAAAAGTGCAAATATTATCCTAAGCACTATCCTAATATAAGCAATGTTTAGAACGAGAAGTTGCCGTACTGAGCAAAAAGCCCAAAAAAGATAACCTTCAAGTAAGCAAGGGCTCGCTAGGATCAGTTGAAAAACAGTAAAGCAACAATAGCTTGAAGGCTAAATAGGAAGAGACCAGAAAAAAAAAAACCATAAGAGAGCGCCAAATTTCTCAAAAACACGCTCCTTCGCCGTCTATAAGCTGACACTCACACAAAATGAAATAGTCAGGATTTGTACGAAAAAAAAGCAAACGAAATGGTTAATTTCGATTTAGCAATGTAATTCAAATCGCCTCCACACCTCGATGAAATGGTTAATCCTGTTACCGACATACACGCGTCTAGCATTTCCGGCGTATTCTGTAAGCTCCAGAAAATTTTGCTCCCTGGATAGTGTTACTGCGTATATTTCACCACCTGTTCTTCGCAGTTTTCTCGCTGAATCCTACAAAAAACCAGTCTGACTTGCTACAAGAAGGACAGTCCTTTAAAATTATCAAACTTTCAAGCAGTAGTGAAACTGCATAAATTTTCATCGATCCGAAGAGGGCATATTTGCAGAACTTGGCAGAATGGCAGTTTACTAGTACCAACAGTTTTCTCAACACACCGGCTTTCATGAGGATTTTTACTGCACTCATCAGCATTTTGAACATAAAACTACCATAGACATAATGAAAATGCTACCCTTGCTTGCTGCATTAGCTAGCAAAAAGTCAAATGAAAAAACTATTAACGATTAAAAGCTGGCTTATCGCCCAACTTCGAACCACTGATACTTTTCTTAGCAGATTGGTTGGGGCCATAAAGCAGCATAATATTGATTTGATCCCTCAATAAAAAAGTAAAAAGTTGACGGATTTTCTGCGAAAATCTGTATAATAACAGTACACACCTGTACAAGCTGCCATGGATCCTGACTGTTG